TAAAATGCCTGAAGTAGGATCAGATGTGATTCGACAACAGAAGTTTGAACGATGAGACCAGGAACAGCTGTTGCGGAAAACCTAAAGCATGCAATCATTGAAGCTACTTCCTAGTTAACGATTAAAGCTGTAGGGAACATTCGGAAAACCTCCACACGTTCTGTACAATCATCAAACGTGCCACCTTCCAAAAGCCGGATTTTTGCAAATAAAACAGCGTTTACAAGAGGCACATCACTGAGATTGCATACCTGAAAGTAATTCGATAGATATCAGTGAAGTTACGAATGCTGCTGTTTCAGTTCATCAAACAAAAGTGCTTAAAAGACCACACGGACTCATGAATTACCAGAGCAAAAATAAAGGCTTGTCAAGTCAGAAAATCTTGAGGCAAAGAAGGACTTGTAATAGCGTCACAGAGGGGGGAGATGAACTATAAGAAGTTACCAACCTGCAGATCCACGCTAAACTTGACCTTTTTGCGTTTAAGAAAAGCCATTTTACGCCATAGCCAATCGATGAAGAGATACCGGCCTGAAATAACGCATCGCATCAAAATAGATCGCATAGTGGAGAAAATAACTTATTAAAAGGCAGATGAGAAAGATCAATGACTGGAACGAGGTAAATGCAAGCTCAGAAGAAAACGTGATATCGCTGGCGGAATAAAGCAACGCAACATCTTGTATAAAAAGAAAATAAGGACAGAATGCTACATTGAGCTGCCAAAACGGACCAATACTAGGAGAACAAAAGTAGTTAACCTAATGTTAGGAAGACAAAAACTAAAGCAATCCAATTGAACCTCAATTGAACTGTACGTGCCGCAATCTTTAGTTGTTGCTGATCAGCCTATGGCACAAATAAGTAACAATCTAACAGGAAGTTATTTATTGTGGGAAAAATGACTAGACAGCGCGAATATGAGAAGCAACGTGTCGACAACTGGCAGCAGACCGAATTTCGCGACACGTCTTAAGCAGTTAACGTGCGTTGGCGTGTCGGCGGGGCAGCTACGTCCAATGCACCACACCCACCGTCCGATTAAAACGTCCCCCAAGAAGAAAAAACTGAGCACTCACGTTTCATTCGACTTCGGAGCACTAATGCCGCCGATGGTTTGTTGTTCGGGTGCAGCATTTCTGGAAGAAATACAAATTCAGAGGGAAATGCGATGCTGATGTCATTACAACTAATGTAAACTTCGCTTTCTCGGGGAATTGATTATATTTGAGATTGGGAAAAACTACTCTAAATGATGTTTCGGGAAATTGTTTAGCATGGAATTAGATAGTTTTTTTTTTGAGAAGAGGCGAAGGACTACAAACTTCTGTTGTGGCTTTCTCTCCAGTTTAAAATCAAGATGTAATTATCTGCTCTATAAAAACCGTTACTGATGTTACGACGTTTTACAATCATATGAAAAATCGTTATAAACACTTGTATGTAGGAATCACAAGTCGGAATTGATACAAACTGAAATGGCAACTCTGCAAATAAGTGAAGAAAACATCTAATCTTAAAGTAATCGTTTAGGAGTTCGAAGGGGCTTTTGACTTGTTTGTTCACATGCATCCTACTTTGAATCATATAGGTTTTTGCGTGATAAACAAATCGGAAAGGTTTGTACAGCTTGCATTCTAACCAACAATTTTTCACGAAAA